CACCTCTTCGAGAGTTTCTCCATCAAGTGTGATTGGGTTGGTGTTTTCCGTGTTGTATTTGAGGATCTTGCTTTTTACCTTGTGAATGTTGAGGCCTACTGATGAAGAGGCTGTTGCCATACTAGTTCTCTTGACCAGCATTTGTTGATGTGTATGGGATAGAAGAGTTAGGTCATCGGCAAAGTCCAACTCATCTAGTTGTATCCATGCTGTCCACTGTACTCTGTGCTTCTGCTGAAACATGGAGGTCTTCATAATCCAGAAAACCACCAGAATAAAGAGAAAGTTGGAGAATAGGCAGCTTTGTCTGACTCCGGTCGTCACTTAAAATGCATCTGTTAGCAATCTTCCATGTACAACTTTACAGTGTAGTCCGTCGTATGAATTCCATATGATGTCGACTATTTTCTCAGATACACCATAGTGTCGAAGAAGTTTTCATAAATTCCTCTTATCCACACTGTGAGTAGAGATAAATTGTAGCTAACCAATGTTGAAAACATTTGTATTCATATTATTTTGAATATTTACAAATAAAACGGATGTATGGTGTGAATACCTTGTAGTATCAATTAGAATTCATTATTGTAATACAACACATAATAAACAAAGAAATTAATGAATGAGTGTTATATCTTTCTTTGGTGAACTAAAATATTTCAGTCTTTTCCAATACCAGTCAACATGAGACATTTTTGGCTTTTAGTAACTTAATGTAATGAAGACAGAATACAATCGATTTATTTAGATTTCGGTCACTGATTAACACACAACTTTTACGAATACGTATGCGAGGATCGTACTTGTAGTACATTCCCCTAAGTTTGTGGGCTGTCAGTTAACAGTTTGAGGATATATATGCTTTTTGGGTGGTACTTCGTTTTTTCGAGGCTCATAAAGCGCGGCTCCACGGGCCTTCACATGCGTAATGGCATCGCACGAAAAGAACAACTAAAGAAGTTCGCGATTTTACTTGCCCTGGATATGTATAGTCTACTTGTGTACTAGTTAACACACAAACTTTCATCTGAGTATCACTATGCATACGTGCAGGTATACATACCGTGTGAGCAAGTATACGTTACATGCACACTGGTAACACACAGGTTATAACCCATGCATCCCATAGCACATACATAGGTATATTTACCCACCTGGGAGGCTAGGTGTTCACCGCTCCCAAAGAAAACATATGTGCCACACCAGGCTGACTCTTACGCATCACATGCATTTCATTCACACCATGGCTACCGTTCCAATATTTCTTGACACACACATGCGCATCAGCACTCTCTCAGGGGAGGTTCTTGGTCACCTCTCCCTAGCATTTTCTACCACCTTTTTTTATAATGCCTTCGACCTGATAGATATGCAGTTAATTTTATTAGACAAAGGACAGACCTTTTTTGCAGCTCAACGTTTCCTGTGTACGACGCCACATGCGTACTCTTTGCATATATCCTATACTTGAACCACATAACTCGGAAAACTTCTGCGATTCTCATACATAAACATACACATTGGGTAGCTCGAGCGGGAAGGTAAGCCCCGAGTATAGGATCCAGGATGACCAAATACGATAGAGTGGGTGATAAGTCTGATCTCTGCGACTGCCTAAGTTGACTAGCAGGGTTGCCTCCAATATCCAGCAGCGCTAAGAGGAGGCCCCTAGGTCATATTTTTGCTGCCTCCTCAATAAGGTTAATATGGTAATCACAAATTCAGGTTGACGCACACAGGAATTAGAATACAATTCAGTAGTCACCATTTTTCGTTTATTGGTAGAACATTAATAATTTGCTTATAAAGTTAGTTGTTTCTTTTAGAAACTTAAATTGCATCAGTTTGTTCTATTTAAACTCCGTAAAGTGAGTTGTGGTACTAAAGGTTTGAGGCGAATTCAAATCACATGATGATGTGACCCGGGAATTCGAACAATACTGAACAATTGTTTCGTCGCAAATCAGTACTCATTAGTGTTGTGAAACCACTGGGTATATAAATTTGACATAGAATCTAGAATTCTGTTAGAAAACGCGACACTATGAACTCACATCATTAAACTTTACTGGCAGCCAAATGCCCTGGTACGGTCGAGGGTGAGAAGAATCAGCCCTCACCCTCCAAACGCTCTCACATAGCCACTTGTATACAACCATTGACGGGGAAGTTCTACTCACTGCCTTCTTGCTTCACGGGTGTTGTTTACGAAATTCAGTGGATGAAAATCGAATGTCCGGTACATTGACCGAATTGATGGATATGGACAATCCAATTAGGTGAGTTGGAAAACCCTGACTGCAAACCAATGGTGCTCATGGGCTCCAGGATCCTCAGGGAACAAATGGCTATCATGGGACTGCATCTCCTTAAGTTGCTCTACTACCTCGTGGATCAGACCTTTAGGTCGAAGGCTCGGAGTGTGACCCCCTATAAAAACCACCTGCTTCGTTCTGGGCACATTTATCAACTTCAGTCACTTTGTATTGCAACGATTCTTCCATACAATTTGATTTGTGAATTGTTATCTTATTTACCTATAATAATTGAATTCATTGAATTCCTGACTTAATGTAAGCCATTTCTTTAGAGTAAATAGATAACCGACATTATATTATTTATATAAATTATATAATGTACCCTTGTCGGTCAGGGTAATTTTACATTGGTTTACAGGAGAACCGGACACCATTCACACTTTCACATGAAAACCCAAACAGTACTGCTCAATCCCATTTAACAGGAGAGCCAGACACTACCCAGGCTTACATTTTATAACCCAAGCAGTACAGCTCAATCCTGCTTCACAGGAGAACCGGACACCGTATAGGCTTTAACGGTAAAATCTGAATAGTACAGCTCAATCCTGTGGTGCAACCACACAGGTACCAAACACCTTGGTGGACCACCAATATGTGACTAGGTGACATAAATCATCATCAATCTCATAAATACATAATCTGTCTGATGAAATCTATAAATAAAATGTTTACATCTTAACTCAGCTGAAAAATGGATTCAACAAAGTACATAATTTACACTTCAGTTTGTAAGTGGTAAAAACAAATGAAAATAATTAAAAAGGTATATCACTATGGGATTGTAGAGATTATTATGTTTTTAATTGAGATCATGAACTCGATTTATTTTAGATCACCACTGAAAACCTGGAAGCATTGGATAGTCGTTTCGTCGGTTGGATGCCGTCCGGCTCAGTGGTCTACAGATTAATTATTCGGACACGAAATCGGTAGGTCAATCAAATACTTAATAACCTCTACAACCCTATACTGATTACTGCCATATGCTCACTAGTGACCAGAATCGCGAGGGAATTTTCGGAGTTCCAGTGAGAAGCCGTGACCAGTGGATCTAATCCGTATCGGCTAGAGACAGGTATCTACCTCAGTATATTGGGAGATGGTCGAATGATTTCATGGACTGGTTGGAGTTAGACATTAATATCGTTGGATGCTGGCTCAATGGTCTAGAGGTTGTGTTCGCGCGCAACACTGAAGGTCCTTAGCCCGAATTCTGTGAGCAGGATCGTAGATGCGCACTGCTGAGGATGAAACGGCCATCCAGTGCTACCAAGTTTTCAATGGTGGTCTAACATCAATCGATTCATGATCTCAATCAAATACTAGGTGGTTAAATGATATGCGTATAATATTTAAAACTTATGAAGTGATCAATTATCATTTTATGAAGGAATTTGGAAAAGTTGACTATAATTTTCTTACTGTAAGATAGTTCATGATTGATAAAGGATTTACTGATCACATTTGTGAGTTCGCAGACTATGTTTGAGTCATAATAAGGTTATTAATACTGACGTGTAAAATATATACAAGTGATGATAAGTTTCGAATTAGAACAAATTTACTTCCTATACTCTACTGTTAGCCGAAATCATAATAAAGAGCGGCTAATGAAGATTGTTTTTTTGAATATTTCTGAACAGCTTCAGTTAATGGTATATAAATTATCATCAAAGATGATTGTAAGAAAGTGAGGAGCGGCCAAATCAAAACGTGGCATCAGTGCTTGTAGTCACTAACTTCTAGTCTGAGCCATGTTGGGAGATGCAGACTACTTGGTTGAGGTCCACGTGACTATCGTAACCAATGGTTAGAGACTCTTGGTGACATGGCTTAGAATCGATCAAAATGGTGTAGATGTACACAGTCTGTCTTCTCTTAAACTAAGAGATTAAAATCGCTTCATATCTTTCTTTCTACTAACTAATTCTTTCTTCCTGTACTATTTCCTTATTGCAATCTTTCTTTTATATATCACCACCTACTTTTATGAATCCGGTGTTCATCTTGTTGTGCTAACGAGGTATGGCAACTTGGACCGATGCATATATGTCCCTGGTCCTACGTTGTAGCTGACTGATTGACTGACTGACTATCATCAAAGATCATACCAAATATTTCACATACATTTAGTATCATAAAGGTATTCACTTCAACACAGATTGAAGCAGAAATTGATTCATAGTGAAAACTATGGATCATACCATTTCAATGTTATAATGTAAATGTGGTATCTTATCCCTAGAAACGATCACATATATACACTACCGACAGAGTACTTTATCAAACTAAAATGATTAATATCAGATGGGTTTTTTGGGGATTGTAGTAATTTCAATGGTTAAGATCATGAGTCAGTTGAAGCTAGACCACCATGGAAAACCTGGAAGCACTGAATAGCCGTTTCGTCCTATTGTGGGGCTCCTCAGCAGTGCGCATCCACGACCTCACCCTCTGCGAGATTCGAATCCAGGAATATTTCACATACATTTCATATCATAAAGGTATTCACTTCAGCACAGATTAAAGCAGAAATTGATTCATAGTGAAAACTATGAATCATACCATTTCAATGTTATCATGTAGATATGGTATCTTACCCCTAGAAACGATCACACATATACACTACCGACAGAGTACTTTATCAATAATCAATAATCAATAAATAATCAATATTACCTTTAGTTTTAAGTTTATAATATTCATCACGATATAATTTCGCTTTATTTTCTGCATGTTTTAATGCATATAATAATATAGAATGATCAATTTTTGATTGTTTTGTTAATTTATTAATATTATGATTATGTTGTTTAATCATTAATGTACGTTTATTACGTTCTATATCAACTTCATTTTTTAATCTTTCTAATATTTTTTTAATATTTATCATAGATAATGATGATGAATCAATATTTGATTGATTATTGATTATTGATTTTGTTGTTGTTGTTGTTGTTAAATGTTGATTATTATTTTTTATTGATTGATTAAAATATGGTTCTGATTGTATTGAAAATGTTGGTGAATTACGTAATGAATTCGATAAAATTTTTTTAGAATTATATAATTTTTCAATATGATTATGATAATGTTTTTGATTATTTGGATTAGTTGATATAAAATCATTACTATTATTAGTAGTAGTATCATTATTATTGTTATATGTAATACTTGATCTATTCATTTTGTTGCTAAAGTGACAACAATAACAATAACAACGAAGACAACAAGAACAACAACAACGACGATAACAGCAACAACGACAACAGCAACGATGACAACAACAACAACGACAGCAACAACTACGACGACGATAACAAAAACAACGACAACGACGACAACAACAACAACAAAAACAACGACAACAACGAGGAAGACAGCAACAACAACAATAAGTTTGAATCAATAGATTTTTTTCGTAAACAAAATTCCAATTTTTTTCAATAAATCAATAATGTTTTCGATTATATAATAATAATGATAACAATAATAATGAAACTGATCATTATTGATTATTTAAAATATCCTTTTTCCATTCCTTTTTATATTATTTATTCAAGCAAGATAAATGAAAGAAATAATACCATTTTGGAAAAGGAACATCAGACTATTCGGGTAATCAACCGTTTGTTTTTTTCGTTTTGTTTGTTTTTGTCTGTGTATTTTGTTTGTTTGTTTTTGTTTGTGTGCTTTTGTAAATCATTGTTGAAAACAATGTGCTTATTAATCAATGATGGTAATATAAAAATTTTTTTCTTTTTACATCTAGAACACTGATTGGTTGGATATATTGTGTAAACTAGTAAATATAATAATAAACACTTAACCTATAAGCTTATATATAGATTATAGGCTTATGTTATGATTGTCTAACTAGAAAAGTTCAGTATATTTTCTAATATAATTCAGCAGCCTAATTAGACTGAATTATCAACATCGATGACACTGTGATAGGTGTTATCGATGTCCACAGATAGAAATAGTGTGTATCATCAATAGAAATTGAAATGTCCAGCGGCAGAAAGTGAGAACGATCAAAGAAAAGAGAACAAGAACAGAGAATGATTAGTGTGGAGACAAAGGAACAATAAATTCTGAGACGAATGATTGATATATTGTAAATGAATTATTTACTTTAAGATTTTACAAAGATGTCCTGTAATTTTGTACTCAAATACATTCGATTGTCCCTATTAGTGTTCTCGTTCATTATAACACCGCATTAAGAAAATAAACGAGCTATCTAATTTTTTGGTTTATTTTATCTCTAAGAAGTAACTCTAATTGCCATCTAATTATGAGCACTAAATTTTGTGAGTAATCAAATTGGGTTCTTTTTTGTGTAATTGGTGGAAATGAAGTTGCTGCTAATATTTTGAAACACATATAACGATTTATTAGTTGTCATTTGAAATTAGTGAAACTTTGTAATTGTAAATATATTTAACATTTAGTTACTGTTTAGTGACTTCCATTTTAAAATTACTCAATAAGTCTAGTCGATTATCCTTAGTTTAATATCAGAAGGGGTTTTTTGTGGATATTATAGTAATTTCAATAGTTGAGACCGTGAGTTAGTTGAAACTAGGCCACCATGGAAAACCTGGAGGCATTGTGGAGTTGTTTCATTCTATTGTGAGACTCGTAAGCAGTGCGCATTCACGATGGGATTCGAACCCTGAACCTATCGGTTTCGCAGGCGAACGCTTAACTTGTAAACCACTGAGCTAGCTGGTATTGAATGGTACTATTGTCTAACTTCAACTGATCCACGAAATTCCTATAATAATATTGACAAAAACCCCTTCTTATATTAATCAACATAAGTTCACTAGTGACTGGCTTCACGAGGTATTTCCTGGAGTTCTACTGAGAAACCGTGACCAATGGAGTTCAACTGGGTCTGTCGTGAGATAGTAACTCACTGAAGACAATGGTGGATATGTTGCTCAATTTCATGGATTAGTTGAAGTTAGACATTAACACCGTTGGATACCGGCCGACTCAGTGGTCTAGGGATTAAGCGTTCCTCTGCGAGATTGATAGGCCCTGGGTTCGACTCTCATGAGGCGTTATCGTGAATGCGCACTGTTGAGGAGTCCCGTACTAGGACGAAACTGCCGTCTAGTGCCTCCAGATTTTCCATAGTGGTCTGCCTTCAGCTGACTCATGATCTCAACTATTAGGATATCCTTAGTTTAATTAAAATCACTTGACTTCTTGATTAGTTATAATTCCCAAAATTGTCTCTCGCACTGTAAAGAACAAATTTTTGATTTACGCTATAATTTTCGTATAATCAACAGAGTTTCATAATAAATAATTGATTAGTTTGCTAACTGGGCTTCAACTGTCTATAGTATTAATTAATTGAAGAAATGAAGGAATAATTGATCCTTTACACTCCAGCCCAGCTAATTAGAAGAAGAAGAAGAAGACTAGAGTTATCAGGGAAAACATATAATTCCACAAGCATCCCAGAAAAACAAAAGGCAAGCACTTGATTCATGCGTAATGTATACAATATAAAAATGTCATTAAAAAGCGTCATAAAATAGCGTACCAAAAGTGAAAATGAACCAATGACGCTTTAGATCCATCCAGAAGGGAAACACGAATTGGAAGTAATCATAACCACTTTCGGTAGGAAAAGGGAAAATTCAAACTTCCATAGTTAAATTACGAAAATAAGGACTTAACTAAGTGATCTCTGATGATCTAGCATCTCCGAAATTATATAAGTATTTTTTAAGAGGTCAGAAACTGTCCTTATACATTGTAGCGGTAAATAAACCCCCAAAATAAAGAGCTCTGTAGGTTTTCGACATTGAATGCTGACCATATTAGTTTTAATGGACTCATCTAGCTGAAGGAGCTCGGTCATGCATTCGCACAAGATCACGAGTGAGAACGCCGTACTCAACATCCCCTGCAATCGCTAGTCAGGTTAGATCAGTCGATCCACGGTATACTGATAGCCTATCAAATATATCTTCGAACCTCCCCGCTTCTGTCTTTTGATTTCACTTGGTGAGTGCGATTCATAGTAGGTGTTACTCGTTAAAGCGTTGTCAAACTCTGAATACCAGTGGCATCTTCAACATGATAAATATTTCAAGTATTAAAATGAGTCATAAATACAAAACAATTGTGGTGGTTGGTATTCAGTATAATCCTCAAACTTCGTATACAGTTTGTCTTGATAACCGTCACTAGATAACGCCCCAACGGTATATTATTCAGAAGGTAAACGCAAAGTGTTGATTACGTTTATTATGGGGCCACACACAGATATCCAAAATTACAAGTGCGTTAAGCAAGCATGAAAGAGTTGTGCCGAAAAGCAAGCAGGCCTCCGCAGCTTTCTTGTAGGACAGTACTGTCATTTATTTGTTTCATGTTCCCGTCGTGTATTTTAACCTTTGTTCACATCTCGTTTAACCGAACCTTTTGTTCTTTGATCTTCCTCGTCTGAGCCGATATTATGTGGTTTTGATTAAATATTTATCTCTTGTTTCCTAATTTTCTATTGCATGTTGCTGGACTATTGACAGTAAGGTCGTGTTTGATTAATCTCAAGTTCACGGCGTTGTTTAGCGTGTGTCTCTTTACTTCTTGACTGTCTGCTTAGGAGGATTGCTGGAATCTCATCTGGTTGGGGATATTTTTATTGATTCTCAGGTATCGATACCTTTGGTATTAACTGTTTCTTTTATTGTTTAGCGCACTACTTTGCGTTAGAGAAACTTCTGACTGTATAGCACAGGCTGTACCGTTTGAGGTATTTTGTATTTTTGATATGATTTGTTCTATTCCCTGAATTAGGAACGTTTAGATTGTGCATAGAGTTTGTGTTTTGAGATAATTTAATACGAGTATCTCAAAAACGCTTGGTACGCTATACAAAAGAATGTAGTGTGGCCTATTCAAATAAATTTTGGTTGGTCAGTCATGCATTCAAACCGAATACTGGCAGTTTGGTCTTTACATAGATATTCAACGTTTAAGGCGGAGAAAAACCCAACGATAAAGGAAGCGGGAAAAATGGATTGAGTTAATTCGAATTAAACGGATGGTATTGATCGGCCTTGCAGGCGTGGTCTTATGTAAAATTATTTTTATCCATTTTTAATATATTGCTCTATCTCTAATCTAAACGTGTTTCCACCATATAATAATAATTGTCACGATACGATAAATCAGGGTAGACAATAATGTGACTTCCATGTAAGATCTTATAGATTAGGCATTTACATCATAACAAATCTATGATTTTAAGATTAGGTCTTTTATTTGAGCATTGCCAATATCGTAATTGGCCATAATTCTACATCTTCTCTTTACTGACTATTTCTTTTTTAAGCTTTAGAAATGTGAAGTGAAGAAACAAGTAATGCTTAGGAACATCAATATAATCGGATATTCAATGGAATATCCATTATATAATTACTATTTTGTAGTTTGTGAAGACAAAAAGTAATTAGAATTTGTCACTGTTTACAAATGAATAATCACTGGGTAGTGACGTGTCAATGTTCTATAAAAAAAGACGTTTACAAGTTATTTGTTCCATAGACTGGTTATATATGAATTGATTAAGTCTTTGTATTAGTTGTGCTTCATCGAAAAATCTCGGATTTTTATACATTTATTGCTTTTATCAAGGGAGATATAAGATATTTTGTAAGCAGTTAACTAATGATCCACAATTGAGATTGATATATCAAGCAATTTTGTTTCTGAGTTTATGTAAAAATCTTTATAGTGAATAGAATGTGGGTAACTCAGCAATAAAGAGTAAGAATTTTGATCACTGTCGATCAGCCCAGGTCAGTCAGATTCAAGTGTATTGTGTACTTTGAAAGAATGAGATTAAAACCCACTTTATAGATATCCATACCAAAGTTGGACCTGATAGTTTCAAATAAATTGGGCATTGGGCATTTGCATTGTTTACTTTTTACTATTTAAACTTGTGTTAATCTAATGTCTGGTCCACCACGGTGTTTGGATTGAACTACACTATTCAGACTGTAGCGTTAAAGCCTATATGGTGTCTGATTCGCCTGTGAAGCAGGAATGAGCTGTACTGTTCGGGTTATAAAATGTAAGCCTGGGTGGTGTCTGGCTCTCCTGTTAAACGGGATTGAGCAGTACTTTCTTGGTCGTCGCGCGGAAGTGATGATGGTGCCTGGTTCTCCTGTAAACCAATGTAAAATTACCGTGACCCACAAGGGTATATTATATAATTTATATAAATAATCTAATGTCGGTTATCTATTTACTTTAAAGAAATAGCTTACATTAAGTCAGGGAACACCAGAAATGCAATTTTCCTACTCATTGGGATATAACAAAAAATATATTTATTATTAAAGCACACTTTGTATGATAATCCGAAAATATTTACTTCAACGTCGAATACCAGAGAACGTAAGGATCTAAGCTCGTCCATACTACTGATTACGAGCGTGAGTATAATTCACAATAGATAATAAGTAGTGTGACGGAGACAGTAGTTAAAATAAATGACGACACATACTTAAGTACAAGAAAGTCTCGTAAGCACAGAAACACAAGGACATAGAAATAAGATGTGTGTGTTTTGAAGGGCATCGTTTTCTATGAAAACAAAAGAGGTAATACGAAACAGAAGTGACTTAATAATCACATGGACTTTGAGTTTCTAAAGTATGTTCAAAAACTAGGATGAATCGTTCGTGTGTAGTAGCACCAGATACACGGGTCTTCAGCACTTCAATCTGCGTTGCTGCTGATTTACACAGATTGTCCTCTTTATGAAGGGCCTTTCAAAAAATATTACTTTTCACTGACGTTGTATTGCATTTGAGGAAAGGTTTCAGTCAGGATAAAATGTTATTGCTTCCGAAAAATCCAAATTCACATTGAGGTAGGATGGAAAACGGTGGATTTTTAATATATTCGTCATTTTTATACACGGTGACCGGCAACAAATGAATCAAGTGAGAACTAGAATACTAATGTTCATGAACATATGTGAAATTACATGGACCAACTAGTGTTTACATTGGTAACAAACTACCAAAGTGTAATAGGACTGAGTGGACACAATTTCATCAAATATTAGTTGTGTTTCCGGGTCAATATCAGAACTACACCCTTTCGCTAATGCACTGAACGTATATTGACACTGGTACCATAAATCACACGCAGTTTTATTAAAATGGGAATAATATTGTCAACGTAATATCCAGCAATCGTATTGTGCGGAATAAATCCGTGACAGCTTTGGAAGTCTGGTCTAATCTGTATTGAGTTGAGACGAATTGAAACTACCAGAATGTAAATTCAATAATGTGTCTCAACTATTAGTCGTTCAATGTAATTAAAGATGCCACAAGTATTCGGAAGTTCACAACACCTTGACCAGTAACATCTTTTGTAGTCAAAGTATGCAAACCCAGTCAAATCAGATGTCAGAAGCGAAGATGTTCGAAGATATAGCTGATAAGCTATCGATATATTGAGAAGTGACCAATCTAAGTTCGTTAACGGTCGTAGAAGATGTGAAACACGACGTCTCCACTCGTGATATGTTGTGGATGCGTGACCGAGGGTCTTCAGCTTGGTGAATTCAATAAAACTAATGCGGCCAGCAGCAAATGTCGAAGACTTACAGAGCTATTCATTTTGGGGGATAATGGACCACGACCAACGGATGGATAACTAGATAGATAGACAATTAAACAAGGGGATACGGTAAAGGTTTGTGTGTGAGGCATTCGAATTAACCAAACAACTGAACGCAAATAAATCAATATTAACCGAACTAAGGCATTTGACAGTCACAAGTGTAGTCAGATATCGTATTCCAAAATGACCTTACAGTGACGCAGATCGTATATGCTTGTGTTAAGTGCTGTAGTCAACTCCAGATTGTATAGCATTCTATTTGAAACATGTTGCAAACTATGCAATTCCCCTTTGGATATGTTCACTAAGAACCTAGTTGTCTCTGTTTCGTATCATACCAACTTAGTAATACCTCTGCCTCCTACCTGAGGTTATCAGCGATCGCTTGATGATACACACATAAACTCGTTAAACGTAAGTTTCATCTGTTCCGTCCAGTCATATTAACAATCAATTGGGCATTGAAAGTCCCGTACTGGAACCAAATAATGCGCTTCTAATTCAAGAGGATGGCTAATAGTTTGTTGAGATTTGACGCTCACAGCATTTTAAATTCATTTGGACATAGTACGACGTCGCTGTTCTAGGTAAATAATTCTTCTGGTTGGACTGTTCTGTTATGAAGTAAGTATTTAGCGGGTGTGTTTTTTGCTGCTTAAGTGTAGTGCTCTGTTTACCATAATTTTCAGATCACTTCATATTTATAGATAAAATGTTCCAAATACCTCTAATATTCACTCCCCTAGAGTCAGCCTTATCATCCTGAATAAAGGTTTAAGAAGTAATAAATCACCACGTGGTGACTCGACTGACTTTCGAATATCTATATTAGTCTTAAGCAGCATTTCCAGAACGATGATATATGTAAAACGCTAACAGCCACATGTGGATCCTAAGTATGATTGAACTATGTTTGTAATGAACTATGCAACTGCTGTCTAACGGTAGTGTCTATCTTTTATTGGGATGGTTAGCTTCTCCCTGCCCCAATCCCTGGATCATAATCATGTAGATCTCTGGTAGTTAGAGCTGTTGTATATAGTAAGTAAGTAATTAAAAATTCGTTCCCAAACTATGGTGTCTGACTGTGTGCCGTACTATTTTGATATTCCTATTTTTCGGCTGTCTCGTAGAACTGGTTAGTGTAGTCATGGTGTTTCAAGGACACTTACCACCAGCTTAACACTTCAGATTTCACTACCGTATGTTGTTTTATGCTATTTACAATAGCTGGCGATACTAATTTAGCTGTGTCCAGTGCCAAATTTTGTTGCAATCTATGGTTGTTATATGTCTGCTTCGATTTCAATGGCAGCTATAACCACCATGTTTTGTCTAAAAACATAGACAATACTGGGTGCTAGGGTTTTTAGCGACATTTGCATCTCGTACATCTTAACCTTAAGTATTTCACCCAGAAGACTTATATGACTAAGATCAAAATTAAGTAGGAACTGTGATCATTATCGTTTATAAAACCGTCTGCTCTTATGTTCTTCAAAACTCGATACCACACTATCCTATATCCCCCTCATGTACTGACTCGGAGGAAAGTGAAACGAAAGTTTTGTAGTGCCAAGTTGTAGAGAGTGCTTGCGAACTTCAGATATTGATGTGCTCTCAATGAAAAACTAAGTTGTAATTATATGTTGCAATGGTCACGTAAAGCTTAATGCCACTTTTTATGAAGTGGTACTTTTTCATAATATTTAGCAATCTAAACTTTGATGCATTCAGTAGCGAAACACGTTACGCTACGAGTAACGCATCGTTTCAGGTTATTACATTCAATACAGTGGCATCTTGGTACTTTTCTGTTTTAGTGAAAGCCTAATAAGTCGAATTATCGTGTTGCAGAGCAGTAAGAGAAGTCATCTAAAAGTAAAAAACAAGACAAGGCAGTAGTAACTGTAAAGTGTTGGGATAGCCTTACAACAAAACTTTGTAATAAGTCTACTGTACATGGATAATCTTTGGTTTCCTATATTTCGGCTTTTCTCTATTGATCTGTATGTATGACCGATTCTAACCAAGTAACGTCCATTTACGCTCGTGTTTAATCAATAAATAATGACCTCACAAAGCAGGTCATTTTGTATGACTTTTGCAGTAATGTTTTTCCTTGGAAACTTAGCAAAATGAGAAGCGTATAATATGAATTCACTAACATCTTTTATTAAGAAAGTATGTTTAATGATCATTATTTAGTGTAACTTATTTTTTAAAATGTGGCTTTGTGGTACGTACACTACCTACACTATATCTTATGGTTTACCAGGATTTATTATCATGCACATCATCCCAACAAGTAAAATTGGTATCTTATAATTAACTCTTATTCATAGCTTTTTTTTCATTACAGCCCCTTATCACAGCAACATAGTGTAGCTAGTATTGGAAGCTTGTTGGGCAATTTGCCTTTACAAGGAGATTCAAGTTTACAACAAAAAACTCCACTTATTTCTGGGGGTTCAGTCAATCTTAACTTACATGCGTCTGACAATGCCGCCAGTATTCCAGGCAGAACACCTTGTACTCCGCTCACTTTATCTACTCCGTTGCAAGACCGAGATGGTGCAATCCCGGTACCCCAATTACAGTAAGTTCAGCCAATTAAAATGTCGTTTAATGACTCCAAGAAATTTCGTCTTCTAGTTCTACAACAAGTAACCTGAAACTTGTGATGTACATATGTATGTAAGAATTATTCATTAATTAGAGTAGTTGTCAGTCGGTCAGCTACAACGTAGGACCAGGCACATATATGCATCGGTCCAAGTTGCCACACCTCATTAGAACAATAGGATGAACACCAAATTCATATAAGTAGTTACATCAATTACAGTAATATATAAAAAGTAAGATTGTGTATAAGGGTATAGTACAGGAAGAAAGAATTAGTTGGCATAAAGAAAGATAGAAAGCAATTTTAGTCTCACAGTTCAAGGGAAGATAGAGAGTGTATACACCTACACCATTGTGGTCGATCCTGAGCCATGTCAGCCAGGGTCTTCAATCATTGGTTACGATAGGCATGGGGACTCCAACCAAGTAGTCTTCATCTACCAACAATGTTCACACCAGAAGTCAGTGACTTCAAGGGCTGACGCCACGGTTTGGTTTGGCCCCTAACCTTCTTCCATTCGTCTCTAACACTACTAAGCATTGCGTGTCGGTGTTTAGGCATACGCAGCACGTGGCCCAACCCTCTCAGTCAATGAAGATTTACATCATCAACTGATTTGCCATCATTCCCTAATACCTTGCATCTAACCTCACTATTACTTACCCAGTGATCCCAGCAGATGTGAGCAATATTTCTAGGACATCTGTGGTCAAATACTATTAACTTACGAGTATCTTTCACCCTTATTGACCATGTTTCGTAACGGTAAAGTAGAACAGAACAAACTGTTGAGTAGTATACTCGTCCCTTAATTGATAGACGGATATCTTGTCTTCGCCATAGGTGACGTAAGTTGGTAAAAGCCAAATGAGCTTTTTGAATCCGTGCAGAGATTTCGTCAGACACCAACCCATTAGGGCTGATCAGACTTCCAAGACAAGTGAACTTGTCGATGTGTTCGACTACTTCACTCCCTATCCTTAGTTCAGGTGTTGACTCAGACCAGTCCTGGAGTAACAATTTGCATTTAGAGGGGGAGAAACGCACCCCAAACATTCTGGCATTGTTACTCAGTGCTACCAAAAGACTCTGCATTTTATCATCGTCTTCACCAAATAGGACAATAATATCTGCGTATTCCAAGTCGATAAGTGGACCTCATGGTAAGAGACCAGTGCCCGAGAATTCAGTCGACGAGAACGTTATTTCCAGCAGTAGGTCTATGATGAAATGAAACAGAAATGGAGATAGTGGACAGCCTTGACGGACACCACTTGAGGTCGCAAAATCAGATGACAGTTCACCAAAAGCTCTGACTCGACTAGTAGTGTTCGAGTAAAGAGCCTTCACAAGGTTCATGTACTTTTGAGGTACACCTTTCAATGACAGACACTGCCACAGAACCTCTCGGTCAACAGAGTCAAATGCTGCTTTTAAGTCAAGAAGAGTTGTCATTGTCGGAAGCCGATAAGTATGTCTGTGTTCTAAAATCTGACGAATGGTAAATATGTGGTTGATGCAGCCACGACCAGATCTGAAGCCAGCCTGATTTTCTCGTGTTTGCAGTTCACGAGTCTTTGTTAGGCACCCGATAATTATTGAGGCTAGTATTTTAGATGCTATATCAGTCAAACTAATTCGTCTATGTTTATCACAGGACGATTTTGACCCCTTATATATTGGGACAATCAGTGATTGAGACCAGTCAGATGGGATTACGTCCAACTCCCAGATTTTAGCTAAAATATTAGTCACCCTAATCGCTAAAACTTGACCACCATTCTTAAAGACCTCTGGACCAGCTTCTTTTCCTCGTTTCAGATTAGCTATTGCCTTTTGAACTTCAGCTAGTGTTGAGGGATCTAATTCAATGTTCCATTCACACTGTCTTGGGATGGTGAGTAGTTGTAGAGTGGCTGAAGGACAGGTGAACTGCTCCTTAAAGTGTTCCGCCCATCGTTCTAAACGTCTGGGCTGAGAGCAGATAAGTGTCGTCTTTTTCCGACATCGTCCCATCTACATTTAACTTCTTGATCCCAGTTTCTTTTATCAGTCTGGAAAGCTTTCTGGTGTTATCTACAGTCACCGCCTTCTCCATCTCTTTTGCTTTCCTTGCCCACTACTGCTCACGGTCGTTCCTTAGACTTTTGGTTAACCTAGATCTGATTTGTTTTCATTCTTCATCGTGTTCATAGCCTGATTGGATAAGTTTACAGGAATCCATCAGTGCAACAGACTTAGTAGAAATCCATTGGTTTTTTGTAACCCTTTGGTTCAAATCACTAACAGATGTCACTGCTGTTTTCACAGCTGTTCGTTTATCTTTCTAAGCAACATCTGGGTCAGCCTCGTTTTCAGAACTACCTAAGTGTGACTTCAGTTGTTCCCGGAATTTACTTTCGGCTTTCTCGTCACTGAGTTCAATTCTAATGGGTCTTCTTGGTGTAGTTTTTCTGCGTCCAGTGAGGCGCATGATCGGAGTTCAAACAGGTATTCCAGAACGAGTGTCAGTCTTCTGTCGATCCTCTCCAACAATGACTAATGGCAATATGGTCTATTTAAGTCCATCGTTGGTTTGGTGTAGGAGGTCACCATGTTAGACCATGCCTCTCTTTAAGCTTAAAATTAGTGCTTGCTAAAAATAAACGACTGTCTGAGTACAGTTGCGGCAGACGGTCAATATTATCTGTTCGGTGAGCCGGAATGCTAAAATATCTACCTGAATGTCTTTCTGTTTGGTTTAAGCTACCTACTTGGGCGTTAAAGTCCCCTGCTATGAGTACTATGCCTAAGTATATATGAAGAAGCACAGAAAGCTTTCTGTAAAAGTAATATTTCATTTCATCCAGGTTGCAGTCAGTGGGAGCGTAGACAGAAACGACGAAAACGCAATGTGTGTCCCTATCCTTCCGAGTTCTTACACAGCCGTTTATCCGAACCGCACATAGGCGACTGTTAACAAGGATCCATTCTAGTAGTGCTTGTTCTGTCTTCGTACTTAATGCTATGCCTACACCTGCCAGTGCACGAGAACTAGCCATCGGGTCAACAAATGCACGGAGAGTGTATCTCGTCGGCTCTCCATTTTGGCGAGGTAAGGTCAAGTGAATGGCCACACTAGGATCCTGTATGTGTGTTTCGGAGACACAGCATACATCTATGGTACGAGATTCTAGGGTTTTAACCAAGGAGACCTGTTGGCCGATTTCACACAGGGTACATACGTTGAAGACTCCAATGCGCAGTTTGGAGTAATGTTTCAATAGGCTTGAGATAGTGTTTCGCGCACTAGAATCGTTGGATGTGGTGGCACTTGAGGAGGAAGCGGAAAGAGGAAGTTTAGTGTTGTAAGGAGGAGAGACAACTGCTTGAGGTCGGTCACACACGACCTTTTGATGGGTAATTTTTGTGTTAGCTCCGTACTTGTTGAGACCTTACCGCTGGAGACGGATATCCGTGGGATAAGGCGAGGTGTGCATTTTTAGGGTCGACCTTTTCTAATCCCATCCCTCCTTGTGGAAAGGCAGCGTCGCTGTCATGCCGGATGACTGAAGGAAACACCTTACTGCTGTCACACCTCTGTACAGTCAGCAGTACGACTTCGCCTTCGGATCTTGGGTTTGTTGCTTTTAGTCTTACCGCTCTTCAACCGACCTGTCTGACATGGTAGGACCTTGAGGAACGGTTGTTCCATCCAGTATAGCTCGGTTGCCTCATCACGATAGGCAAGCCCGACCACCACGTCAAGGTAGCAACAACAGTCGAGTAGAGTAGTTGTAGTAGTCATCATACTCCGCTCGTAATTACGTACTGACCTCTCAAAATAATACCACTTGTTGACCTATTTTATCTACGATATACTTCTTCTGGCAACCGAGATCGATGCATATATGTACCGGGTTCTACGTTTCTTAATCGCAAAGATTTAACCAGTTGGTCAATGTTTCTGTTTTCTGAAACTTGGTTGATTGGGATCTTAAAATTAGTTTATGAAGAAACTATCTGTTTAAATGTTTCAGTTATCGTTTTTATTTAATTAGATTAGTTATCTCATTATAATATTCTTATAGATTTTCCACTGTATTGTACTACATTCCTATTATGGTCAACTTAAATGTCATGTTCTTATCTGCTCAGCGACTTGAAATGATGACTAAAAATATTTGTCGAATCGACGTCGAAAATCAATCAATAGTGAACAGCTTTGTTGTCATTTCCTCAAGTTTATTATAATCTACAATCTGTAATGTTCTTATGATCTAAATATAGTCTGTTATGCCATATAATATATCATTGAGAAAATCTTATTAATGTGTAAATTGTTCGGAATCGTTCTCCATGGTACAGGTGTATTCAGTCTTTGTCTTCTCTTAGATTCTGAGTCCTGAAATCTGCTTATATTATATTTCTTCGTCCTACGCCAAATGTTTTCTTCCACTGATACTGTTACCACTCCTGGATTTTTGATAATTATATCTCATTGTGGCAGTGTGATGTTGCAACTTCTTGGGCCGACGCATATGCATGTCAAATCTTACATTGAACATGACTGAGATAAAATATATATTTCAAATGCAGAACAACAAAGTTGCTCAAATATAAGAAAATATTGGGAGTAGATAATAATAATGATAATAATAACAACAAGTACTTAACTGCAATCGGTTTTCGATCGTCATACCTAAACTTCTCAGCTGGTATTTCCAATTAATTTACATATTTGGTGATGTCAGGGTATGCTTTGTCCATGTGACTTTAATGTAAGTGTAAATATTATCAGAATGGGTTTTGTGGAGATTTTTAGAAATTTCACGGGTTGAAATCATGAGTCAATTGAAACTAGACCACTATGCTTCCAGGTTTTCCATGGTGGTCTAGCTCCAATTGACTCATGATTTCAACCCGTGAAATTTCTAAAAATCTCCACAAAACCCAGTCTGATAATAATAATCACCTGCTCACTAGTGACTGACTTCAGGAGACACTCCTGGAGTTCTAGTAAGAAGTCGCTACCAGTGGAGTTCAACCAGGTCTGTTGTGAGATAGGAACTCACTGAAGACAATGGTGTACAGTGGCGCAACTTCGTTGATTGGTTGAGGTTAGACATTAACACCGTTGGATGCCGGCTCAGTGGTCTATTTGGTTAAGCGCACGGTGCGAGACTGGTAGGTCCTGGGTTCGAATGTCGCGGGGTGCGGGGTCGTGGATGTGCACCGCTGAGGAGTTCCATACTAGGACGAAACAGCCGTCCAGTGCTTTCAGGTTTACCATCGTGGTCTAGCTTCAATTGACTCATGATTTCAACCAGTGAAGTAAGTGTAAACAATTTCGTTAATTCTTTTCACACTTTGTTCTGACTATATTACTTATTTTACTGAAAAAGATGGATAATATGAGAGATCAGTGATTTGATCACTTTATGGTCAATTAAGTATTATTTACCATTAATATTGATACACTTCTATCTTAGTTAATTAGTTTTTACTTGTTCTTTGTTTTCAAATAAGGAATATTGTATGTACCGTATATTTAGGATGTAAATTAAATTTGAAGAATATAGCACTTAGTGCTCGAAATGCTGAATATAATCCAAAACGTTTTGCTGCCGTTATAATGCGTATACGTGAACCTCGAACAACTGCTTTGATTTTTTCTTCTGGTAAAATGGTGTGTACAGGTGCAAAAAGTGAAGAGCAAGCAAGACTAGCTGCAAGAAAATATGCTCGTATTATTCAAAGGCTTGGATTTGAAGTAATTCTGTCATTGTATTATCTATTGTATGCAGTGTCTTTTTTTACTATCCGTTTACATTTATTTATCAGGTACAACCAATCACCATATACAGGATGTACCATATAAAATATGTAATTTTCAAATTGAACTAGGTGATCTTCATAGAAGGATAATCCCTGAGCCTCTGACGTAACGGTTAGATCCGCAAGGTCGATATTATGGCTTCCCCGACAGTTTATAAACGTTTAGTCGTATAAAAGCATTTCGAGAAGTAAAGCGAACTCTTCTCACCCTCAGCTGTACCAGGGTGTTTGAGAGCAGTTTATTACATTTCTACATATTTGCATTTTATTTGCAGTTGAGTGGATGTGTTATAAAGTCACTCTGGTGTTCGACTCGTTTTTTATTACCTTGCTGTGAAAATTGGTGTTTAAAAGTTAGCGGATCAAAGATCCTGTAGAACCATTGCTTTTGCATAGTAAAACCACTAACGAAATAATACTCAAGTTAAACGTAGAGCACTGATTAGAAAATTATTTGTTGAAAGGTTTGTAAAACATCTTCCTAGCTGGTTAAGCTTGTGTTACACACACTCATCCACAACTCACTCCGAGATACTATGTTGGCTAACATAGAATGTATGTCTGGAAGAGACTAGATACCATCAAACTGAAATGTCATAAGGGTGGTATGTGATTTATGCTCTATTAAAACAACTTCCACAGGGTTTATGTAACTTGATATGATTTATTTTAACTGTGTTGATTAGACTGTCTGAATATCAAACATTGAAATTAATAATTCAGTAACCTAATTACTTCCATCGAATATTTTCGGTATTATTCTTTGCTAATTAATCGTAGGTTAATAATCCTGCTAATCAATTAAATGTAATGGACTAGGAAATTAGTAAAGTGAATCAATTGTAGTCTACTATTATTTCACAATTGGAAGTGACATTGAAGCTACTCACAATTAATTTAGTAATGAAAACGGTAGTTTCGTTTTGCCATCCATCCATGCCCTTTTTTTGATCTCGCATAATCCTTGTACTGTCTTACTCAAAAACGTTTGCACCATGACAATAATCAACTATAATTTATATTCGTTTATAATGTAAAGTAATATGTTTCAGGCTCATTTCAAAGAGTTCAAAATTCAAAATATGGTTGGTTCATGTGATGTCCGCTTTCATATACGTCTTGAAGGTTTAGTATTGTCACAAGGTCAATTTGCAACGTAAGTTCTTATGGTGTTTTCTTTTCCTTTACTTAATAAGGATGTTTTTTGTGGCAACTTAAAGAACAATAGCTGAACTAGTAATTAAGCCTGTTTCAAGGGAGGCACCAAATACATATGCGCCACACAAATCTCATCCGATATGTGTGAGGGCTGTGATACTGCCCGGGTGCCCAAACCGAAGCAGGTGGTTTTCTTAGGGGGCCACTCCCCGAGCCTTCGACCTTAAGGTCTAATCCACAAGGCAGTGGAGCATCGTAAGGAGATGCAGTCCCATGGAAGCCGGTGACCAACAATTGGTTCATACGCTATTTGTTCCCGCAGGATACTGGAGCCCATGTGCACCATTGATTTGGAATCCGGTTAAAGCGCCGGACATTCTCTTGTTTCAGTGTTTATTGAAACATTTAGTATTTTTCCGTCAATAAAAAACTAGACGATTTTCCTATCTGCAACTGTACCAAGTTTTTTCTCTATAATAGAATATTTACTACTACTCACAAAATCTTTCTATTCTCTATCGTTTTATGTTTCAAAAGACTTAAGGTTTCTCTCATTTCAAATTGAATAAAGAAACTTGTATCTGAATACAAAATTTACCATTTATTAATCATTCTGAATAATAGAATGAGAGTATAGAACCTAAATCAATACTCCTAGAATCCATTATCTGTGTTTCACAATATGCCATACAATTCAGAATAGCACTTCAAGTATGTGTGCTTTTACAGTTTCTTATTTGTCACTACACTTTCTCTAGGTCTTTTGGCATACTATACCCTGATTGTTTAGTCGAACGATAAATAAGTAGCTGTTAAACTAATTTCCTATTTATTTATACGCCATTTTCACTAACTTGAACTTTTTAGTCTGATAGTTGAAAGATCAATTAACCAATAAATTAGTGTGGTCGGTTAAATAGGGTTACAAGTAGTTGTATTTGTCAATTAATTTTGTTCCTTATTTTTATTATCAAATACAATTATAGGCGGTCTAAACTGCAATACTGAAAACGTTGTCTCAGTTGCTAAAGTACTTGGACAGCAGAAACGGTTGATATGGGCGGCAGTTAAGTTTTAGGTTAAAACAATCTCTGTATTAGTGTTAAATTAGCTATCCTGTTGCGAGCGAGCAAGTGACTACTCGGTACGTTTCATCTGCCCACTTTACTTCATCTAGAAAAGAATCTTAAGTGAAGAGTCAACCTAGTATTGTGAAGTTAAATTGATATAAAGCGTGATTCTGTCCATAGTCCTGACGACTGGTGTAATTTTTCGCGAGTCACTATCAGTCCGTACGTTATTCCGAAGGCCTTTATCTCTAGGACTCACTGCAATTAGCTGCTTACGTTCTACTTCGCTTTTATTTGACGGAACAATGTATAAAAACTAAAATCATAAAGTGTGCTTAATCCTGATGTTACTACTTTCTAACTGCTTCCCACAGTAAAAACGTTTCCTAATCAAATCACAAATATCCAGTTGTTAATTCCTTTATCTAAACGCATTATTCTTTCCCTGTGTTTATTAGTTTATTTAGTTCGTAAAACCCACTACAACTAGGCACAAGAAATAGTTTGCACTACATAATATAGAGATAACTTAGTGAAGAAATGAGTTAAGGGGAATGCCAACAAAAAAGTCAGTGGACAATAATGGGAGATATAGTTTGGTTGAAATTACAATCAGAAGACTTCTTTCTGTTAGCAAAGCTCATCTCACTCTTTTAAGAAGTTCAAAAGAAAACCACATCACGATTTCTACTGACTCCTATTTCAAAATGTCTGGTAACTCCTCAAGTCATTAATTTGCACCATCTCTAGGGCCTAAACCAATGAGGGAATCATGCTGGATCGATAGATGCACTCATATTTCTTCGGTACTACTAACAATAGCTAGTTCAACCAAATGGAAGTATAATATTCTCGGGTTTAACGTGTATATGGTAACTCTCATTAATGTTTTATCTACCATATCAAATGTCCTGAAGTAGTTTATGTCATGTTTGTCTTTGTAGTGAATCAATACAGTACATTTCGATCATATCTTATATGGATTGTTCTTTTCTAATTTTAGATATGAGCCAGAATTATTCCCTGGGTTAATTTATCGTATGACTAAACCAAAAATAGTCTTATTAGTCTTTGTTTCTGGGAAGATTGTTTTAACAGGTAAAAAAAAAGTGGATTTATTTCAGTATTACATAAGAACGCAGTGGTACTATGTGTTATTGTTACTACTATTAGTATTCATGAATTTGTTGATGCAAATGAATCCAGCAAGTATGGTTTGAAGATATGTTAATCTCCAGCTGAAACCATTTGTAGATAAGAAGAACCACATATGGCTTTAACGTTATCGTATAATTCGAAGAATTAGCATGCTAACGACGCTAAATTTTAAACTATACAAATCCTTAGTATTTTCATTAAGAGTTTGTATGGTATGGCGGACTAAGGAGCCAGTTGTTATGTTGCCGATCGGAATTCGTTAGGAGTGGTCATCCACTATGCCATAAAATTAGGACTTGTGCTCGGGAAGCTATAGTCAAACCATCGTGTGTCATCTGTATTCTCAACTTCAAACAAATTTATTCCAGGGCAGCACATCATTATTTACTCTGACTGAAGCTACACATCTACTTACAGCTAGGGAAAGCCAAACCAAAATGTGGTATCAATGCATAAAGTCAGTGACTTCCAATCTAAGGTGTTTTCGTAGATGCAGACATCTGATTGGAGTCGGTATACTTATAGTGACCAGTGACAGCACAGATCCACTTTTTTTTACTCTCAGATTGTGAATGTCAAAATTATCTTGTGCCTTATTCCGCGAATCACCTTTAACATCAAAGCTTTGTACTACCACCAATAATAATACTTTAGTATTCATATTTCGGTGTTTATGTAATGTAGAGACTTCGACTAAGCATGTGTTAGGTTCCACAAACTCAGGACTGCTTGACAGAAGCTAAAATATTACTTCAGATGAATGTGATAACAAGCGTCAGTATTTTATTAAATCCATAGTCCTTGTGTCTAAATCTAGCTATTTAGTGCTTCATAAATTCCAGTCATCATATTTTCAGAATTGTTCTGTTATAAATATAGTGATTAAGACGGAAAAATTAATAGAAGTGGATGATAATTTTTATTAGCCTCGTGATCATCAACTAGACACAAACACTGAAGACTACAGCACTGAGTAATTGTTGTTTCAGTTTGTGACTTTTCACCAACGACACTGTTAACATCAGTTCAATATATTTAGTATTATCCTATTTAATTCAGGATAGGAAAAAGCTAACTAAAAAAGAATGTTTGACATTAGTTTGAATAGCACTGAAAGACCAAGTTTTACTAATAACTCATTACTATCTATGGATTTATGTACTCGGTTTCTAGCCACTTCAAGTCTAAGACCTAATGATAATACTCGATTATTCAGACCTAAGTAATTAAAGTTGTGGTCAAAACTGTGGTTGGAAGTCGAACATCGTAATCACTGACTAAGTACATGTTCACATACAAGTGCTTACTGCTTAAGCTGAAATAGGTAAAGAGGTTTTTGTGAAACTTGCAATTCAGTAGATACAGGCTAAATACTTTCACTGCTAGTTGTACATTTATCATACACACAGTGATCCAGGGAAAATCAAGGTGCGAGAATTAAGTTATCCTACAGCTATTAGTGGTACAGCGATATACTTTACCAATCAACCCTAAGACTATCTTACTCAATTGAATATGTAGTTAATTGTCTATAAAACTACTAATATTATTATATGTATTTTATTTCTCTTTTTATTATTATGTAGGAGCAAAGGTTCGTGAAGAAATTTATGAAGCTTTTAATAACATTTATCCAATTTTGAAAAATTTTAAAAAATCTGACAAAGATCCTAGAGCTCTTACATCATCATCAAATTATATGCATCCATTAACTTGAACTAAATATAAACGTTCAGTTGTTCTTCGCCAGGATGTTTGTTTTTTTTTCTTACTAAGATTTAAAGTAAACCACCGACATCGTAAAATACTTTTGTTTCTCAGCTTTTACCAATTGAATTAGTTATATTAACAGCATTAAAACTTAACTCTATGAAACAACAAATTGTATATTTTTTTTCAAAATTCATGGTTTATTTAAACATTCGACATATGAAGATTTTCTGTGCATCCCTTACTATTTTTTCAAGTGTTTCTTTATTATCTGTTGACATTTAATTTTTGACGTCAATAGTTTTTGAGTATTGTATTTGCTGTTATTGTGTATATTATTAAAATTAGTGGTATTATTACTACTTGTTGACTTATTTTACAGTGTGTAAGTACAGTTTAATGTACTTGACCGTGAACCACACAATAAAAGAGATGATAGCAACCCCGATGGTTAGAGACCCTGGATGGCATGGCTCAAAATTGTTTGCAATGGCGCAGGCGCATCCACTCTTTGTGTTCTCCCAAATTTTGATCTCCTTATTCCTCCTTGTCTTTTTTTTCTCTTCCCAAATTTATTATACTCTTTAAGTAACATCTCCAAACACTAATCTTCCCGATTACTGCTTATACTCTTATTACCTCTACCACTACGGGATTTGAATCGACCACTGCATCTCTGTGCTAATGTGGTGTGGCAACTCGAACTAATGTACGTACGTACGAAGTTCTACGTTGTTACTGGCTGACTGACACAATAAGAGCTCGTTATTTTATACAATTTTACAAGCCAAAGTCAGTGTAACAAGTCTCAAACTGATGGGCTAATGATTAGAAGTCAGGTTATGCAGCTAACAACCATTACGATAATGATAGGGAAAATAGTAAGGCGACCCTATTGTTTCGAATGATGGTATCCTACTTGCGACGTCATTAGTAAATAAAGGCATTACAAAATGTCTCAAGAAATTGTCTATACAGTTAGTTATTAACAATGTAAGGCTTATCAGAGATCTATATTACTTCGGCTTGAGACATCTTATATCAGCAGACAATCGGTACTATATGAGAATAAGGGTTGATCACGTAGGGCGGTAATTGACCAGTCGGTAGTCGAGGGAGCCGCCTCAGCTCCTGCCAACTTTCTGAACTTGTGGTAAAAGCGATATTAGTTTGCCGACCCAGGGGTGTTTTCGGTATTATGGCTGTGAAGTCCACTGAGCTCACAGGACATCCACAGTTTTCTGTTACTTGATCCTAGGTGTCTTCGAAGGATTGCTCGCGTATACCTAAACGACCGATTGGGAATTATAGGCTAAGTATTAGGTCCTTTAAAATCAGGCTAGCGGCTTGAGGGATAGTCTAGATTAGCATAACCCGCCCTGACATTCCTCAAATAGGTCGATTTCATGAGACGAGCCAGCACTAGTCTTCGCAACTGCCAGATACATTAACTTAACAACTGACGGTTCGGCGCAAAACGTGTAGGCACATATTCGACTATTCTCAATTTACTTATTTAGGCACAAAATACATGCAATACGGACATGTAGGAAGAAAACTAGGAATAGCAAAGTTAAAAAATACTTGCGCCTACTGCTTCCAGTGGAGAATAGGGCAGTTAATGAGGTCACTAGCCAAACCTGCAGTTTCAGACTATTGAGTCTGGATATGCGCGACCGGTAAGCTCTAGCTAAATATTCACGAATCAACCAGCACCAAACATTTAGTCTCAATATTATGTCGTTTCTCGGAACCATTCTGTAGAATCTAATTTTTGGTATGTAGATTTGGGTCTTGTTTCCAGAAATTTGTTAGCTGCTATGTCTACGCAAACCCAAAGCCAGCACCATCAGGTAGCTTGGATATGTTTATAGGAAAGTCCTAGAGCTCGGTCTCGTGCGAACTTCAACACTGGGTTGCAGGTACATCCGCCTAATGAGTCTCCGATCAGACCGAATTCATATCGAACCCCACTATCTATCACATAAAAAAATACACTCAGACTTGTGGCGGCCCTATGACAAAGTTATTTGACATGGACACGGTGGCAGGAGGCTATACATTGCAGTCCCGTATATCGACCAAAAACTGTGAACCCTATCCACTAGATTCTCGTGTCTGTTTATTACTACCATTGATACTTTTGTCATCCAAAATTCCCTAGCAGTTATTCTTTTATACCACTGATGTTTCGCCCCGGTGATTATGGTCAACGCACAGCTGTCAGGTTTCAGTTAAAAACCGATGGCTTTCTGCTATGTTATTACTGGTTTCCACCTTTCAAACCGCTTATAAATAGACGCTTAAATTTATCTACCTATTAACGTTACCATTATTCTGAACCAACAATTGTAGTTTATTTCGACAATCAGGCCGACGATGCACACCAAATGGCTATTAATGTGCCTGATCAAAGATCAAGACAATTACCAGCAAACAGAATATTCTTGCTCTATTGTCGAGATTATCACAACGACTGTACCCCATAGATAGATCAAACTGAATCCATACCCATGTTTCAAGAGAACCCTGACCCGACATTTCAAGGTACATCAAACGCAGTATTTGAAAAAATTTATATATTAAGTACGCACAATTTTATATCTTTTTAGGTAGCTCTTAACAGATGGACAGTTTTACTTAAGTGACTAGCAATTTTACGACCGACTAACAAGAATGAACAGAGCTAACTTGGTGAGCAGTTAGAAGCAATGCTAACAGCAATATATGAGGACCATATAGATATGCCTACGTTTTGTTGTACAAATCTGGACTATGATGGATTACGTTAAACCCACAAGCTGTCAACGGATACTAGCACAAACGTTCGGGAAGACATTCAAAACATAATTACCACAAAAATGTGTATTACGAATTACGACTCAATAGTTTCTTCTGTGTATTTATTTTTGTCTTGTCCAGCTAGTTTTCCAGCAGCTTTGCGTTCCAACAATGAGCGGCGATCTTTATCCAATTTTAATTTGTGTATCACGACCTAGAGAACATGAAAATAAAATAAACGCTTACATTAGATGGGTGAATGCCGATAGGTGCATATGCGCCATTCATTTTACGACATTGGAGCCTCTCGATATGGATTACATATTTTTTTCGGTAGACACGGATGACCTTTGCAGGATTGAGGTCCTTTCGCTCGCCTCGAACAATCTGTACTTCATCACCTTTGCGGATGGGCATACTCCGAACTTTGTACTTAGATCGAAGCTCTTTCGACAGAGGAGCGCTCATAAGCCGCCGGCGAATGTGAGAAGGGGCGTTGAAGTAACGTTTACGGGCTTTACGACGTGAGCTACTAACATGCTTATTAAACTTCATCTCCTATCAGTCACGCTCGACAGCACAAACACCCGCGTCGAACTACTAACTGTTCAATTACCAATACTTTGCTTTATCCGTCTATCGAACCAATACTTAGAAATTTTGTGATATGACAGAGGAATGTGCTTTTTATATCATTATGTACTCAACTATTCTGACTAATCACCATTTGGAAAGGTCGATAGTTTTCCAATAGGTTGACCCACGATTATCCGGTGAAGATCTGGTATTCTTCCTAAAAATGTTTATTTGTGCAATCCATGCCTTTTTATTGGTCAAGGAGTTAGAGCTGGTGAACGATCAACGAATAAAACTAGATCACGCCCTTGATTTATTTGATATCAGCTATAAACATTTTCTCATTAGTCATCGTGGTTATATATGGATATTTGACTACACTTGTGACTTGTCAAGTTCATTATTTCGGTTAATATTGGTTTATTTGCATTCAGGTATTTGACTTATTTGAATTCCTCGTACATGAATCTTTCCCATGTCCCTTTTTTGATTGTCTGTCTATTTAGTCATTCATCTGTTGCTTACGTTTCATTATTATATTGAACGATTATTACCTGATAAACACTAACGGATTTACATTCCGAACAGTTTCAATCCGTTTCAACACAGCGCAGATTAGACCAGTCATCCAAAGCAGTTACAGATTTATTCCACACAATACGATTGCTGGATATTACGTTGACAGTATTATTCCCATTCTAATAAAACTGCGTGTGATTTATGGTATCAGTGTCAATATAAATTCAGTGCATTAGTGAAGAGGTTTAATCCTGATGTTGTTCCGGAGACATAACTAATATTTGATGAAATTGTGTCTACTCAGTCCTATTACACTTTGGTAGTTTGTTACCAATGTAAACTGAACGTATAGCGTTCATAAACTTGCCGGTGTAAGAGCTTAGATTCATATTTATCGACGAAGATGAGAGATCTACAAATCGTTTTGAAAGTTGGGGTGTGGTTCCGTAAACGAGTTGTGCTACAGTGTCAGCAATCGCTGCATAGTGAATACTAAGTAAAACGAGCGGAAGAGCTTTGGTCCACTTTGAAACGTTCACAGCTGAGAGTGAGGCTTTGACTGATGATAACATCATCATACCATACAGTTAGCATGCTGTTGGTAGGCGGTCGTTCGGAGTTTTAGGATCCATAATAGTGTAGCCAGACAACGGAAAATTCTAGATTTGAGTTGACGTCCACAGTCTGTGATGAAGGTCGAAGTTTGATACACATCGTTCGACGAAGGCGCGAGCAACTGCTTCTGAAGTAGTGTTTTTGATGTGTGCTGCTTCCGGCCATCGTATGTAATGGTCTATACAATTTGAGAATATCTTTTTGGACCCTGTAAGTTCCCTAGAAAATGAAGAAAATGGTTCGGAGTTTTGAAAGAGCTTAAGGAACATTTTTATCTGTAATCAACCTGAATTTTTGGAGACCTACATAGGAGCATGCCCACTCCCTCACGTCTTAACTCACACTAGGACAACAAGAATGTTCAGCTGTGAGCTTGATGGCTTCACAAGCACATGGATGTGAACGTTTGTGCGAAGTGTTGAAGACGTTGCATCAGTAATTTTTCGGCACGATTGGGCAGTCCTACTGTGTAAATGTAAAGTAATAGTAAAGTTAGTAAATGTATTAAGGTTTCCTTATCCGTTCCCACATGCTTGATCCGTAGTTTAATTTTTTGTCAAAGATAACTTGTGCTGAAGATCTGAGCCATCTTTTCGGAGCTGAGGGAGTTTAAGGTCGATCCTCTGGAAACTGTTCAAGGGAGTTATACGAAACAAGGTATCTGCCATTACAGTGTTTGCCCCAGTGGTGCGTTTTATATCCAAAGTAATCTGAGAAATGTAATCTAGTTGCTGAGACTCTCGAGGGAAGTACTTGTCTGAAAATGAGCTTAGAGAGGAAGTCAGAGACCCATGGTCGGTAAACTGAGTGATTTATCATCTTTCCACTGAGTAGTGAAAAGGCCGTACACCACATTGCATGTCTGGGAGTTCCCTGTCAAAAGTGTTATACCTCGATTCAATGTCTCGCAGATGTCTCCAGGGGAACCCTAAATGTTACTAGATGTTGTTTACTCATTGTTTTAAGACCCCTCCTATTGCCGAGTAGGATGCGTTAATTGCGATAATAATGAGTGTTTTTGTATCCTGACTTGCGAGCATGGTTGCTTTTGCAATAACTTTTTCAACTGTTGAGAATGCTTATTTCGCGTTTTCGTTCAAATTGATAGATTTTGCATTTTCACGATGTTAGTCTGTTAATGGTCTCATGAGGATCTTGCAATTCGGTATGTACCAGTTATTTTCTACCTCGGCATTAGTATATTTGTCTTTGCTATTATAATAACAGACCTAATCCCAAAAATTGTAGATTTGTTATGATACTACTGCTCAATATGTAAGATCTTATATGGAAGTCGCATCACAGTCCGCTCTGACTTTTCCTATCGTGACAGTCGTAAATATGACGTCCGGTACTTCTGAAGAACACATTTGTGCTGGAAGAGAGTGTTACACTTAATACAAAGTTCAAGAGGTTACATGAGATGACCCATCCTGCATGGCTGAGCCATATCATCTCAAAACCCTTGTTCATGCACTCACTACTGCCAACCCCCAGCACGTATTCAATGTTAAATGTGAAGTTTCTGGGTTATCTTATGTTCAGATTCGAGAATCGTATCGTTAGAAACCAATACAACTACAATCTTACCAGACCGTCAGAACTGCAAAATTGATTGATTATTGTCCATTCTAGGAAGACCAGAATGACCGCGCCTTGCTTTTCAGAAGTCTAACGCCTTAAGCATAAATTGTGTGAACTAGGATATCTGGGTGATCGGTTTGTCTGACACTTATGGGTGTCTTTGATAATGTCGTGCTTTTGTAGTCGTTCGAAAACTTGTTTCAGATTTCGGAGATCAGATTATGTATCTGGACGTCATCTATATTTACGTGTACGGAGTTGATTCTTCTAAACACGTTATCGATGAATGTTTAAAAAGTTGATGCGGCTTTTTTAAACCGAGAGATATGCACAAAAATAACGAGTTCAAAGAGAGTGATGATATCTGTCTTAAAAATATCGTGTTTAGCAATGAAGTTTGTTTATATGTTTAAACCAGATCGATTTTCGGAGAGACGGTTGTATCTTTGGAGGTAGCTGTCAAATCGTGAATGTGTAGGAATAGGTAACGATCAAGAGTGGTTTTCACATTCAGTCGCCAATAGTCACCAGCTGGGCGCCAATCATCGTTGCCCTTTTTAAGGACCATTTTAAAGGGAAATGCACACAGGCTGTTCGACAGCTGGTTAATTTATCGCGCACTCGAATTTGTCTTTTGCCAACCTTAGCTTTTCGGGAGCTAATTGATGAGCTTTCGGAAATATAGGTGGTCCTGTAGTCGTGGTTTGGTGTGTAGCATTATTGGTTACACGTGGCATTTTCGGTACCGTTTGATATGGTTCGAGTTTCACACCAAGTATTGTTGATAGCATGGATCGATCGTGTGCTCAGCTGTGATCAGGAACAATCTGCAACCGCAAAAATAGTTACACAAACAGATAATTTAGTATTTCCATCTACTAGCCTGCATTAGAGCGTATTGATGTGTAAATTGTGATGTTGTAGCAGTTTTATACCAACGACTGGTATATAAACATCAGCAACCATGAAGATCCAGTGAATGGGTTTGCGTAAACCCACGTTAGGATACACATACCGCTTACCGTATGTCATCACATCATTGATGTGCAAAAGACAGATAGGTTCGCCAGTTACAGTTGTCGTTAACGCGTGTCGGCTGGGAAGTTTCCGGAACGGGTTTTAATGGCGGCTGGTTCAGGGCTCGAGGGACTGCAGAGTTTTCCACAATTTTGAGATTTTCCATGGTGATTATGATACCAGCACCAATCAGGGTTATCTGTCTCTCGTGATCTAGAGATAGATCGTTTTCATGAAGGACTCCCTCGAGCAGTTTGGGAGAGTCTACGGTAATGACGAATACTAAGGTAACGTTTCAGAGTATGACAGAGTTCTGTAATGTCACTCTGTGTTGTTTGGGATTTTTCTTTAAGTGAATAGACCTCGGTTTTCGAAGTTTTGGTGATCTCCAGAATTCGGTCGGCACTCGCAGTCAGTTCGTCCACGGCGTTGTTTTCAAATGAAACAAACACTGCCTGCACCTGCTGGTGAAGCTCAGACAGGAAACGCTGTCTAAACAGGCCATCGCCAAAGAGCCGTTGCTAACCATCTCTTTTACACGTAGCAACATTTCTGCTGCTGGACTTATTGCAAATCGGTGTTGTGGAAGAGTTGGTTCAGTTTTTTCAGTCGATTAGTTCTCCGTGTTTAAGGATAGCCCTCTGTAATGTGTCGTAAGGCTCAGAAACATCACCATTAGATATGCTAGGTGCGACGCACCTGTTAAAATCACGAGGCAGTATCTTCTCTGCTTCGGGGAATTGTGCACAAGGGTTCGTCACGTGGTTCTTGTGGAAGTCATCTTTTGAGTAGAAGCGCCAGGTTTTTATATTGCAGGTCCTGACTTGATAGGTGAAAGGCAAAAGAGCCTTGATATTAAACAGTTTAAGTGTCTGTTCCGTAGTGATGAAGATAAATTATACAAGGGGGCGGGAAAAAGCATCTGAAAATATGGAAACGATATCACATTTTAAAGTAAAATTTAGGAAATGACATGTTCTGTTACAACAAGGAGTAGACTCACAGTTTACTTTTTCGCGCACCAGATCACGCCGATTTCATCACTAAGTATGCTACGGGTATTTGAAGTGTGACAACGCCTTTACACGCGACATTTTTGTGACCGAAGAGTACCGACCCAGTCAAATGGTATAGTTGGGAGACATGTTTGGAAGTCTATAGGCATACCAAGAAACGTTTGGTCTAAGTTGTTTAGAAGTTGCAGGAGATGCGTAGCACGTTGTAATCACCCGTGATCTGGTGCGGACGCATGGCCGAGCTTCTTCAGGTAGGGTGTGTCCAGTAAGACTAATGAGGTCAGTATCACTTTCGAACTATTTATTTTGGGGACTTATTAACTGGTTTATCCTAAATACACTGGTTGAATGAATGCGACTTATACTGGACTATTATGTCAGCACCGGTGTGTCTTATCTTGTACTCGATTGTAATATTGAGCGAAGGAGAGTACACTATAGGGAGGTTCAAGTTCGGGACTGAATTGTTTACATCATAAGTCCGTTTCTCGCACCTTATAGGGAGTTACTGGAGTTCGTTACTAGGACATCTAACACCAGCACTTTTCGTTGATACATGCAAAGCGAGGTTGGATCTTCATGGTACTACGAACTGTATGGATTGGTATAGGTAGATAAATCTCCTATCTTTGCTATTGAAATTGGATTGAGCTAGCGGTACTTTCGGACTATACGTAGCGATGCAGCACATGCCGTTGTCGGAGTTAAGTTATCACCTTACGCGGGATCCGCTATCATACAGAACAGACGTAAGATAAAAAATCACATAATTTTCTTCAGTTTGAGGAACAACTCGAAAACTTTAGCACACTAAAGCAGTCATTTTCTTCTGCCCCTTCTCAATATATAAGTAGACTAGAGGAACTGTTGTCATTCTTATCTCAAGTAACACATTTCGAGTCTTTTTAAACTCTCAAAGGTTGTAAGGTATTATCCTGAGCATGTTGCAGAGTTCACTACCAGTGTTATTCAAATACTGTTGTCGCGTTCATTTGGTATGCACCCTGAAATGCGTATGGTAAATTTCAACCCAAAATATAACAGTTCTCAGGCTTTTTTAAGAGCATTCATGAGACTTCGAACTAAAAACTTGATTCCAGCCACACAAGCAGTTGATATCGCATTTAAGTTGTATAGATGTCGAGATAAACAAGTTCGAAAAACATTACGTCACTTCCTCGTAAGTGACATAAAACGAATGAATAAATGTCAAAAGCAGACAAAAGCTAATGCCGTAAGTTTGGCTTGTCCTCTGACATGCTGTTCAGGTCATATTGTCGTTTATTTCGAAGATGATCAAAGATAACAGTTCAACTGTTGCTCGTGAAGCTGTCCTAATTTTACTGTGCTTGTTCAAGAAAAATGTGTGGAATGATGCGCGGACTGCCAACGTCATTGCAGACTCATGTCTTATATGCAACAAGAAAGTAGGTGTTTGCTTTCTGAAATCATTTCTCCAGGTTTATGTTCCTGCTATTCAATTTTTCTTGGGAAAGTCAAAGGCCCTTGACGAGATGGAAACAAGCAGTGACTCAGAATCAGATGTAAGTCGTGTTGTTCTTAATTCGAACGACTTCCAGTTTATTGTGTTTTTTGGCTAATTTACAACGTTATTCATTCACTTAAGGTTTTATAGAGGTAGGTTTCGCTGCCCAATATATTATTATTGAGATAATATGCAATGAGATGTCAGGAATGAAAACTAGACTGAATTGTTGGTCAAAGTTGCCCCTGTCCGACTGTTTATTCACACCATTTATTCCTTAATTATTATAGGTAACCTTTACACGAAATATTTGTCTGGGAGTTTCGTACGGGATTTCCAAAAGGAATGTAACCTTCATCGGTAGCGCTAAATGACTTTGTCTTGAAAACTTAATTTAATAGAGGAAAACAAGTTCGATGCATAAAATGGACTCATCATTTATTTTAAAGCTTCTAATCAGTTACACATAGTCTAATAAATTTACTAGTACTATGGGAGAAAACGAAATGTCGATACACTTTCGTTAATCTAAGTAAAATAGGAGTTCTTAAAAAGGTATATCAAAAGGAAAATATTCGATAAAAAAAGATAATACTGTCGTAAGTGTGGGTGATGGGTATTTCTGTTTAGGAAAGTAGTATATTTGTATGAAGGAACTGTGTTCATAATAATAAGTGACTGGATAATTGACCGTGACAATCACGATTTAATTTAAACTATATAGCTTATATCCTTACTCTCTTTTGTTATCACAGGATGAAGAAACCAAAATAAAACAATTACGCTTGGGACATCGGGTTGGTGTTAAAACAAAAAATCGACAAAAACGTCTTGAACGGTCAATAAAACATATAAATAAAGAAAAAGAACGTAAAATGAAAAAGCGTACAGAATTGACTAATTTCCATGCTTTAAATATGCTACATGATCCACAAACATTTGCTGAAAAGCTTTTCCGAAAATTGGAACGATGCTCAGATCGCTTTGAAATTCGTCTCTTAATTCTCGATCTGATAAGCAGATTGATTGGATTAAATAAATTAGTTCTTCTTAATTTTTACCCATTTATTCAGCGTTTTTTACGTCCACAACAAAGAGGTTAGAAGATAGTTTTAATATATGTTATTTTAAATTGCAGTTTATAGGTTATAATGTGATTAATCATATGATTGATTTGTGTTGCATATTTGTCTAGCTATTCTTTGTATTCTAAACAAATATTTACAACTACATTCAATTATGATATTTTCGAACGACTGAAATCGGATTGATGTTTCACGTTTATTCAGTTATTTATTTATTCGAACATATAGATATAGGTACAAGGGGGCACTAGATACATATGCGCCACACAAGTCTCACTCGATATATGTGAGGGCTGTGATACTGCCCGGGTGCCCAAACCGAAGCAAGTGGTTTTCTTAGGGGGCCACACCTGGAGCCTTTGACCTAAAGGTCTGATCCACAAGGCAATGGAGCAACATCAGGAGATGCATTCCCATGGTAGCCGGTGACCAATAATTGATTCATACGCCATTTGTTCCCTCGGGATACTGAAGCCTATGTGTACCATTGTTTTGGAATCATGGTTTTCCAACTCCCCTAGGTGGCTCCTCCATATCCACCAACACGGTTAAAGAGCCGGACATTCGCTTTTCATTCAATTTCGTAAACAACACCCTCGCTACGAGAATGTAGAGAGTATGATTTCCCTGTCAATTGTTGTATACGCGTGGCCATGTGAGAGCATTTCAAGAGGGATAACGGACTCCCCACTCTCGGCCGTACCAAGGAGTTTGGGGGCACGTTTATTTAGTAAGTACAATCAAGAAATGATTTTTATGTAAAACATATTTTCCACTTGCGAAACATTTGCTTGTTGACTAAAGGACTATGGGAAGCTAGTTCAAATCCAACTGTAGCTATTTATTTTAGAGTAGTCAGGTAGCATTCTCAGATTTCACGTACAAAACTTTTGGCTTCAAAGTTAAGTAGAGTAACCTATACTTATTTACTGAGTTTCATTAAAGTTAGCTGCCACAGGAGGACACAAATGATTAAATAATGATTAATTTATGTTTTTGAATTATTTCCAATATATCTGGGATATGTAAAACTATGTTAAAAATGTGTCCCTTTTTACTTGTTTAATGGTTATATCAGACTTTCATACTCGTGGAAATCCGTGGGTACGAATCTGACCCTACTTTGATATGAGGAGCTTAATAGTATCATTAGCTAGTAAATAGAAGCAAACGTAGCTTTAAGATCCAAACACTCATTTTTGATTCATTCTATAGGTTTAGTGTTCATATTGTTCAACAGGCATTTCGCGTATCAATCTAATATTCTCATGGTAACTGTTATGACAAGAATGCTTATTATTTAAACCTTTGCTGTTAAAGTAGAACAATTATCTGGTATATTTGCATTATTTATTTTAACACATAGATATTGGTACAAGGAGGCACCAAATACATATGCGCCACACAAATCTCACTGTGATACTGCCCGGGTGCCCAAACCGAAGCAGGTGGTTTTCTTAGGGGGCCACTCCCCGAGCCTTCGACCTTAAGGTCTAATCCACAAGGCAGTGGAGCATCGTAAGGAGATGCATTCCCATGGTAGCCGGTGACCAACAATTGGTTCATACGCCATTTGTTCCTGCAGGATACTGGAGCCCATGTGCACCATTGGTTTGGAATCCGGTTAAAGCGCCGGACATTCGCTTTTCATTTTCTCATTTTCATAAACAACACCCCCGCCACGAGAAGGCAGTGAGTAGGACTTCCCTGGCAGAGGCTATATACGCGTGGCCATGTGAGAGCATTTCTAGAGGGAGAGCGGACTCTCCCCACTCTCGGCCGTACCAGGGCATTTAGGGGCATAAAAAACGACGTCCAGATTTGTTGGGTTAGATTTAACTTTTTTTTCATTTTCTGTGTTAGAATTTAGACTTATTCATCGGAATTCAGGTTTGAATCTCATTACAACTGCCTAGTTGTATTATTGATACATTTATAAACGTCTGCTTGGTTACTAATTTACAGTAACTATGATTTGTGTAAAATTAGTTCCCTTATTAATATTTAGTAGAATTTATTGTCGGTACTGTCAATTGGTTTTTCACCTATCTCTTCTTTGGTTTGTTTAGATGTGACTTATTTATTACTGTTCTCAGCACAGGCTAGTCATGATCAAGTTCCACCTGATGTAAGTTCTTGATTGAGTTTTATTATCTATAATATGTCAGCCAGTCAATCAGTCGGTTATCGGTAAAATAGGATCTGAGATATACATGTGCCTCTATTTAAATATGATATGGCTTTTTAAATTATTAACTTACTGTACAAACCATTAATTTAGTTTATTGGTACTATGATAGTGTTGTTAGCGAAATATCTTTAAAGCTGTTAGAAGTAAAAAGTCGTGAATGATGATTGTGTTCAACTATCTTAGACGTGATACAATTCTCACTAATTGCATTGGATAATAACAGCTTCAGAGCTTATTATTAATTGACTGAAATTAGAAATTGGTTGGTGTAATAAGTATTGATCATCTTTGTGAAACCTAAAAATTTCGGGTTTGATCTGGTGTATGTATAAGGTCGATGTAAGCATCATGTACGAATTTCCAGATTAGATATTCAAATAATCTTTTTCATTCACTAAAGACCAATTGTATTTTGAAAATATAGCTGCTATCTCAGTTCGACACTATGGTGTATCTGAGAAAATCGTCAACATCATACGGAATTCATACGACGGACTACACTGCAAAGTTGTACATGGAAGACTGCTAACAGATGCATTCTAAGTGACGACCGGAGTCAGATAAAGCTGCATACTCTCCCACTTTCTCTTTATTCTGGTGGTTGGCTGGACTATGAAAACCTCCATGTCTCAGCAGAAGCACGGAGTACAATGGATAGCATGGATACAACTAGATGAGTTGGACTTTGCAGATGACCTAGCTCTTCTATCCCATACACATCAACAAATACTGGTCAAGACAAATAGTGTAGCAACAGCCTCTTCATCAGTAGGCCTCAACATACACAAGCAACATCCTCAAATTCAACACAGAGAACATCAACACAATTATACTTGATGGAGAAACTCTGGAAGAAGTGGATAGTTTCACGTACCTGGTCAGTATCATCAATGAACAAGGAAAATCTGATGCTGACGTAAAGGCAAAGTAATGACAGCATTCGTACAGTTGAAAAACATATGGAACTCAAAACAACTGTCAACCAATATTGAAGTCACAATCTTCAGTGCGAATGTCAAGACGGTTCCACTGTACTCAGATGAAACTTCAACAACTACCACAACCATCATCAAAAAACTACAAGTATTTGTAAACAATTGTCTACGCAAAATGCTCAATGTTCGTTGACTGGATACCATCAATAACAACAGTCTACTGTGGGAGAGAACAAACAAGATTCCAATTGAAAAGCAGAATAGGAAAAAGTGCTGCAGGTGGATAGGACGTACATTTCTGAAATAATCAAACTGCATCAAGAGACAAGCGTTCACTTTGAATTCTGAAAGGAAAAGGAAATGAGAAAGACCAAGGAACACATTGGATTAGGAATTGGGAGCAGATATCAAAGGGATGAATAGCCACTGGGAACAAGTAGAAAGGACTGTTCAGGATAGAGTTGGATGGGGAATACTGGTGGACGGCCTATGCTCCTCGACGAGGCGTAACATGCGTAAGTAAAACTATGTATATGACAAAGTTATGTAGCGTTGGGAAAGCGGATAATCTCGACGAAGACCACTTGAGGTAACCAATTCCGATCACTATCCGCCATTGTTGGACCGATATTATATTGATAAACTCTGACAATTTCTATGTTGTTCATTGTCTTATTTGATCCATCTATCCCATTCTTAATAATATTTCCGGTCAGTCATATGCAGTGCATGATACGGCGTCCATTCACGTTACCACTCTTTATCATCACAAATGGAATGTTCAAGACAAAAGTCAGGGTAGTAATTGAAGTAGTCTCAATACCATTGGTAGTAGAAGACACTAGAATGTATTAATCTGCAATTGGAGGAATGGATTTATAGAATATAAATTGTAGCATCATTTCAAAACCCAAAGTTTGGGGGAGAATACAGAAGGTGAGTACGTGCATGCTATTGAGTCCGATTTTGGACTTTTTCATCAGGTCTGCCAACAATGATGACGATTATTGCGCAGATCTCAACGAAGTAGGATACATTTACTGACATGGCTCACACCATCGATCTGTGTTTTCACTAGTTGCTGTTACGTCTTGATCTGACCATCCTTAGCTTTTTTTCATTGCTCATCAAGGCAGACTGTGGTTGCCTAGAAATTAGCATATTAAAAAGAACGATTAAACGATGGGTAGGAAGTATTATTAAACACGGGAAAATGCATTGTTTCAGGGCCTTCAGCGGGTCAAGCAAACGCAAATCTTAACGAGTAGAATATAATGTATAGTATGTGATAGATATATAAGCTAATTTATCAAAGAATGATTACTCAAGTTTCGTATTTTTTTCCTTATCTCTTCCCAACAATAAATATATTTTCTGCTTTAGGTAATGGAACCCTTAATACGAGTAATCGCTGATAATTTTATTACAGAACGTGCGTCATCTGAAGCAATAGCGATTGGATTAAACTCAGTACGTGAGATATGTTTACGTTGTCCTTATGCAGTCACAAAAGATTTACTATCTGATTTAATTCAGTATCGATCATATCGAAATAAAAATGTGGTCGCTGCAGCACGATCAATTATACGTCTTTATCGACAAGTGAGTTTGTATGAAATTGTGAATTAGTATTTTATTTATATGGTAGATGGAAAAGGATTGGAGGCTTGATAACCGAGTACAAACATGTGTACTCGACTTTAAGTCATACTTTTCTGTATTTGAAGGCTAGTAAAGCTACATAGTTGTTCAAAGCCGTAAAGATGGAGCAGCATCCGAAACTGTTACTTGGTGGGTGAAAGTTGAGTGCTCTAGTCACTGTTACCGCTGTTGTTTTGTTGTTATAGTTCTAAGTTCTTTGCTTCTAATAAATAGTATTAAATTGATCAGTCCTTGCTGGCGTTTTGGTCCTAGCGGTGGCTCGATAAATAAGGCCTTTAAATTACAATCATCAAGTGGTAGGTTCCAATTCCGATTCACTTACTTCGGTTTGGGCGAAGGAGTATCATCACTGTCCTTCGCAATTAGAGCGTGGCTGAAAGCTAAGTGCACAAGTATGTTCCTGGAAATAAGTTTAATGGGGTATATTGGTTTCATGAACTGATGGATACATTAATGTGTTGATCGTCTACAAGGGGAAAGTTCGAAACATTGTAAAAAGTAATGTAACTCACGAAGTGCAGGTATACGTTACCCGGATAGTCAAACCCAAAATGTATGAAACTGGGCTTGAACATTTCAAATATTGGTTAAAAACATAGGGCTCTAAAACCACTAATATACCAACACTTCACTGTAATATACTGATTACATCATTGGTGATTGATTGTTGTGTAACTTGGTAACTATTTCCAGTCGGCTTTTAATTTCACAATTCAAATTATTGCTACTTTCAGCTAAAATTTCCTCCATACTTTCTCAAAATACATTCGCAATTTTTCCTCTGTCTTACATCAATTGTTTGGTGTTTCTGGTGGTTTTTCTTTTTTTTATGGTTCTAAGTCAACTATCAACTATTCATGCATATATATTGTGCTTTTTTCTTAAGTCACTAATGAGATGTCTTGCATAAAACTAACCATCCTTATTTGTGGCATGCAATGTATCATTAGAAATTGGGATTTTTGTCTTCTTTCACTCCATTAAATTGGTAATAATAGTTTTAGTCATGTACCTAACTTAGTGTAGATGCTTAGTTTTTTATTAATTACAAAAATCATCAGTAGCTCACATGATGATGATGATGATGATGATGATTGGTCGTTTTTAGCGGATAGATTCGAGTTCAACGGTAAGGTTATCAACAGCCATTAATTGAAATTCAAATGTATCAAGTCGATGAAGTAACAAAACCTATTAATATAAAAAATTGTTTCATCTAATGCAGATTTATGACAGGACGATAGTTTTTGTTTATATGTGACACGATCCCTCTCGAAATGCTCTTATATGGCCACACATATACAACTACTGCCAGAGAAGTTCTACTCACTGCCTTTTCGTGGCACAGTTGTTGTTTATGAAATTGAGAGGACGAAAAGCGAGTGTCCGACGCTTTAACCGGGTTGGTGGATACAAAGGATCCACCTAGGGGAGTTGGAAAATTTTGATTCCAAACCAATGGTACACATGAACTCCAGGATCCTGAAGGGGACAAATGGCGTATGAACCAATCGTTGGTCACCGGCCACATTGGAACTGCATCTCCTGACGTTGTCCCATTTCCTTGTGGATCAGACCTTTAGGTCGAAGGCGCAGGATGTGACCGCCTAAGAAAACCTGGTTTGGTCTGGCTACGCGGGCATTATCATAGCCCCCCCACACACACAAATCAAGTGACTTGTGTGGGACATATGTATTCAATGCCCCTTTGTACCAATATTTATGTGTTCAAGTAAATAAAGTCTTGGAATAAATCTTCTTCTTATTACTAATTTTGTTGCAGAAAGATTTCGAAAAAGCATTCATCATGCCTTATATCAAGTGACTTATTTTTATGGTTTTATATTTAATTATTTACATTAGATAAATCCTGAATTGTTACCACGTAAAGAATGCGGACGTCTAACAGAATCACAATTAGACGTATTAAAATATGATATACCTCAAAATGTTGCAATTAATTATGGTCAATGTACTACATCTTCAACTATTCCTGGAGCTGAAATAGTTGTTCTGGCTTCAGAGAAATTGAATGTTAAAAAGAAAGAATCCTCTGAAAAATCTAATAAAAGTTTGGATGATTCAGAGAAATGCTTAAATAATGAAGGTAAGAATGTTGAACAAATAAATGTCTAACTTGATTTTTTTAAAAAGTATATATGATACATAAATACATACATACTTACTCCTGTTTCCCCTCATCGAGGAGCCTAGGCCATCCACCAGTATTCCCCATCCAACTCTATCCTGAACAGTCCTTTCTACTTGTTCCCAGTGACTATTCATTCCTTTGATATCTGTTTCCAATTCCTAATCCAATGTGTCCCTTCTTCTTTCTCATTTCCTTTTCCCTTCAGAATTCAAAGTGAGTGCTTGTCTCATGATGCAGTTTGATTATTTCAGAAATGTACGTCCTATCCACCTGCAGCATCTTTACTTATTCTGCTCTTCATTTGGAGTCTTGCTTGTTCTCTCCCACAGTAGACTGTTGTTACTGATGGTATCCAGTCAACGAACATTGAGCATTTTGCGTAGACAATTGTTTACAAATAATTGTTGTTTTTTGATGGTGGTTGTGGTAGTTGTCGAAGTTTCAACTGAGTACAGTGGAACTGTCTTGACATTCGCACTGAAGATTGTGACTTTGATATTGGTTGACAGTTGTTTTGAGTTCCATATGTTCTTCACTCCTAAGAATGGGGCCCTTGTATGTTTCGGTAACTCACTATTGAAAAGTCAGTCACCAATTATTCCCTGAATATTCCGAGCAGCTCTAGTAATAAATAATGCCTCATTGTTAATGATACACGAGACTATCGTTCGCTCCTTATATAAGATCCTGATCTATTTTTATTTATTAGTCTCAATTCACTTAATACGAGCAAGATCGTTGGGTAAACCCTTTTGATAAGTATTTTATAATATAATTTTAAGCTACTTATAAGTAATGTGAAATTATGACAAAGAATAGTTGAAGTAAATTTAGTGTTTAATTTTTACTTTCATGTTTTATCAATGACAAAGAAAATGATTCATGGGAATCGTGTTCTGAGGTTCAAGAGTCCGAGGATAAAACATGTCATGACAGTCAAACAGATGAATCAGATGATGAATGGGTAAATTTACCCAATTCCTCAGAAGAAGATAATGAACAAGATAATGTTGACATGGAAATAGATGAATCTAATATGAATGTCTCTTCAAAGAAAACTAAAATAGATCCAAGTGTTTTGAAAGAAAAAGCTTTAGAGATAGCATCATCACGTATATTTACTCAAGAGGAATTTGAAGCAATGCGT